AAGAGATAAGGGAAAGGAATGTTAAAAACTAAAAATGAAGATATGAGTCTGAAAGAAGAGAGCAGACAAAATATTTCAAAAATATAAAAAGTGAATATTTTTAATTAGGTAAATTACAGGCTATCTCTTTCTACTTTGGGGTCATGACACTTCACCCTGCCTCAATAATGGGTTTTATGGTAGAAATAAAATTATGAAAATACCCATTTAAAGTTTTATATTTTTGTTTTTTGAACTTTCCCTGTTCCTTTTCTCTACAATTTTTCTGCATTCTTATTGTATTTTCTTCCTTTTCTTTATTAAATGTTCTGCAAATTTTATTTTATTTTTTGTATTTTTTATTTTCTCTTTTCTTTCTTGGATGTGTTTCTTATATATATATTTTTTTTACAATTTCCCATTTTTTTATTTTCTTTTTTTTTGCTGTATTTAATCAATTTTCTACAAAATAATCTCATAAGATGATATTAGGGTCATTGGCTAGTTAAGATTTCAAAAATGTTTAAACATGCACACATGACACAACAATTAAGAATTGTTTCTAAAATTAGCTAACAAACTACTAACGGTGGGTTCAAAGTGTTGGAGTTTAAAAGTTTAAATTGGGGCATTTGTCACGAATGAAAATTTAGGGTGATAAGCGTCACTACTCTCAGAGCACAGGCAGCGGTTTATAATTTACCCTTTTATTTATTTATTTATTTATAACCAGCTATTTTTAGGTCCTATAAGTGGGACATTAAATGTAAGTGGTCTTGAACATGTGTTACATCTTACATAGAGGTTAATAATTAAGTAACATGAATTCAATATATAATTTCATGCCAACAATATCATTACCACAAAACTACTTCAGTACAATTTCAATCTATGCTTGCATGTTTTTCTTTTCTTTATTTATTTTTTTTGATATAAAGTGAGGCATAAGAGGTCTGTTAATGAGGTCAGCTGTAACTGTTAAAAATGTATTGAAATGTCTTGCCCTGTCCACTTTTGAATAGTTCACAGTTTATGCACTCAAAATTCCCTTTCCATGCGTCTCTATTTCTCTTTGGCATGTGTCACACAATTAGTGGCAGTAATAGTTGTAGTGTAAAGATAAAAAAATATGCCAAATCAAGGTTGGGCATTAGTCCATCTTTCACCACTAAGATGAAGTTTGATATCATTGCAGTTTTCCTACACAATGGCCACGTCTTAGAAGGTAAAGTAAATGAAGTCCAGATCTATTCTTCATAAAGCACTCCTCACACCGGCCTCATATTATATATCACTCGCACCGGGAATATTTCTCATACTAGTAAAAGTGCATATGCGTTGCACGTAGCAATATCAAACGATAATGATGATAATAGTCAGCATCCAAATGACTTTACTGGTTGAATCATTAACCTATTTAACTATGAAAATGGATTATGATTAAGACATTAGTTCATTTTTTTCTTTGTATTTTAGCCATTTCTATCTTTACTAACAATAATTCTTATTTTTTTATAAAATTTATAAAAATTCTATATTTTTATTTTTTATTATTTAATTTATGAGATAATAAAAATTATTTATTTACCAAGAGGAAATGCAATTCCAATATATTGTTTGAACATTGGTTTTTAATATTGTGGTCAAATCAATTATTTATATATATATATATATAGTATTTAAATATAATATATATGTTATTTATTATTTTTTTATAAATATGTTATTTATATTGCATTTTTGTAAACTTTTTATATGATGGAAATTGTTAAAGAATACTTATATTTTTGTTTCTTTTTATTTCAATTGTTATATTTTTTTTCTTCTAATAATTTTTTTTTAAAACAAAATTCAATCAAATCGTAGTAGATTCGTATATCCGAATCTTGATCGGATTCAGATTCAAATCAATATTTTTGAGATCTGGTCAAATCTTTGGATTAGATCATATTTGAATATACCCTGATTCAAATATGATCTGATCTGTTTGCATCCCTACCAAACCAATTGCCTACGATGACCTATCTAATTAAATTATTAAACCATTTGACATGGTTAGTTGGGTCATGTGTTAGACATTAATGCTCTTTGTTTTTATCATAATTTTTATCCCATTTCTATCATTAATGAAAATCAGTCTCATTAATCACACTTTTTTATATGATGAATATATAATATTATAAAATGTACCCAAAATTATTGATATTTCTACATTTTCTAGAATTTTATGTATTTTATTATTTAACAATAACATCATGTGTTGATCCATTTGACATGGATAGTTTAACCACTAACCCACCACTTGGATGGAAAAAACCATTTTGCTTTTTCGGTTAATTTTAAATCATGTATTCCATTTTCATCATCAATACAAGTAATTCTTATTTTCACATTTATTTTGTTTAATATGGTGAATATATAATAATAGAACTGTATCAAAGTACTTTATACAAAGCTTATATTTTCTTTGAGTCTACATATATATATATATGTATATATATATATATAATAATAATAATAATAGAACTGTATCAAAATACTTTATACAAAGCTTATATTTTCCTTGAGTCTACATATATGTATATATGTATATATGTATCTATGTATGTATGTATGTATGTATGTATGTATGTATGTATGTATGNGTATGTATGTATGTATGTATGTATGTATGTATGTATGTATGTATGTATGCATTTGACCCAGAATGTTAGATCATTGACCTACTTACCATCTAGATATGGAAATGGTTTCATTTTCAAATTGGTTTTAAATTTTGCATTTCATTTATATCATTGATAAAATAGTTATTATTTATCATATTTATTTTTGCTTATATTATTAATATATAATATTATAGATGTGCCCAAAATTGTTTCATATTTTTTATACTATTTTATTTTAAAGAAATTATTTTTAATTATACATTATGGGTTAACCTATTTGACTTGAAATGTTAAACCACTAACCCACCCCCTAGATAAGAAGATTGTTTAATTTCCCATCGGTTTTAAGTTGTATATTTGATGTCCATCATTAATAAAATTATGTTTATTTTATCATACTTATTTTTTAATATGAAAAATATATAATGATAGAAATGTGTCCATTTTTTTTCAAAAGTTCATTTTTTTCTATATTTTTGTATTTTTTATAATTCTAAATTTGTATTATTTATTTATGACATCATGAAATTATCCATTTGACCCAAATGGTTGAAGTACTTACCCTCCATCTAAATGAAAATTATGATTTCATTTCTATGTTTATTTTAAAAATATAAAATTTTATTATATTAATAATTATTGTATATAGATTTATTAGTGGAATTTAACGATGATAAACAAAAGTATAAATACTGGATTAAATGAGAGAGAATGTAATTTATTTAATGACTTAAATGTGAGACTTAATGAGAGGTAATTGAATGTACTTAATGGTGTTCTTTTAATTACATTTTATGCCATTTCAACGGAGATGAACTAAATTCAAGGGGTGAATTAAATTCCAGAAGCCAATAGAGACAAAAAGGTGAGAATGTGTTTTTTTCGTCGTCAAAATGGTTGTTTAGTGTTGCTTGAAAATGTTCAACTAAACCAAAAAATAAATAAATAAATAAAGTGAGGAGAGAACAAAATGCCTACATAGAGAAAACAACTCCAGTAGCAAACACCATCTGAAGCTGTTAAGAGTGTAATGCAGGTTTGTATTGATACAAACTTAAACATCTTTTATCTTTTCTCATGTTTGAAACTACTAGTTCTTGTTTCCTCTACTTTCTCTCTTTGAAATGGTAGAGCGTTCACTTTCATGCAAGGTAAAATTTAGACTTTGAATCTTTTGATTAATTTCTACTACTATTGATCTACAGATACGATTTCCATGACAAAACTTCTCTGATGGGCCTCATATAATTAATGCAATTTTAATTCTTCTTTGTCGTCTATTTTCATTTCCAAGAGTGGGTCCTACATAAATGTCAATGATAAACAAAAGGCAAGATAAATAAATAAAAAAGTTGACCCCATTCAGATAGCAGCTTGTTTTAAGAATTTGGATCCTTCTCTTTCTAGTTTTCAATTTCAAAATCAACGAACAGTTGCCAAAGTTTGAAAGTAAGGCTGCGTTTGGTTGCAGTGTAAATTTGAACCAGATGTTAATTTTGTAATTATAACTATAATTTGTACTTCTATTTGATATAAAATTTGTATTTTTTTTTGTTTTATTTACATTCACTAATAATGTAAAATTTGCACCTCAAAAATTAATACAAAATTTACACCACCTTTCCTACCTGAATTCTCTCATATAAAATGGGAACCACATCTTCTTTCCTACTTCACTCAAAAACAATTAATTCTCCTCTATCTCCATTATCTTATATTTAAGATGGGACCACACTTTTATTTCTATTTTATTTTTTACAATAAACAAGACAAATTTGAAACAAAACTAAAGCAGAATTTACACTCAATTAACCCATTTGTATCCCATGCATTTACACCAGTGCAAAGCACTGAAACCAAAGGCAGCCCAACGACCAAATGACCATAAGATAAAATAACACCAACTTTTCATAATGTGGCTGCATTAATATTGCTGCAAATCAAACAGGAGATGAGGATGAAAAATCTTTGTGACCATAAGACAAGAAAAAGAACTAAACATGAAAATAAATCCAACAACGTAACGATACTTAAAATGGCAAGTGGCAAGAATTTATGTTTTTCCTTTTCCGTTTCAAAAGGGTTAGAAGAATTTCAAACACGTTGGCATGTGCCACGTGGCAATAAAAATACTAGAAGGAATTTCCAATTTCAATGAAGAATGAACCCATTTCACCAGTGGTGGAGCCCATTTGATGTTATATACATGGGTCTCCGGAATTTCTAGTTTTTTACCATGCAAAGTTGCAATCAGAAATAAAAATAAAAATAAAATAAAAATGCAGGCCTTGGTAAAGAAAAAGAAGCAATGAGACGAGAAGGCATGAGGCCATGAGTGTGTGGAGTCTATGGACATGGTGTTCAGTGCAGGCAGACGTCGTTCGTTCGTCTCTGCCACATTTAAACCAAAGCACAGAAGCGCCAAGTTTCGACCCTCCTCCGTCCCACTGGTCAGATGAGTATCCCGATACCACCACTCACCGAACATCTGTCAACCAACCCACCCCCGTCTCTACGCCCTCTCTCTCTTCTCAGCCTCTCTACTGTCATGGCCTATCTCACCGACCCTTTGCATTTCTTGACGCGTTTCTCTCATCTTTTACCCATCTGTGCTTCATACATTGGCCGTCATTTTTCTTTCATCATCACGACCACCATCATAGCCTATGGCTTTTCTTCACCTGCAACACAAGCTCCCCTCCCATTGATCAGAATCCAGAACCAGTACTCCTGCCGTCCTGCGTTTCTCCTCTCGTCATGGAGAACACAATCCCTCGGCCAGTTACAACCACCCCAACCACCTTTCCTGTTACATCTCCTCCCACCACCACTGTTGCTACCACTCTCAGTCAAGAACAGAAGCTACGAAACATTGAATATGGGAAGGAACTACAACTGGGTTTCTCCCCTCTTCCTCTTCCTCCTGCTTCTGTTTCTCCTCTCCCTCCTACAACAGTTCCTACACCAAATCATCCTTTCTCCACTCCTGAATCGCGCAGCACGGTTCCATACTCTCAGGATCATCATCATCAACACCATAATCTAAGCGAATCCCAGTATTACTCTTATGTGTTCTCTCCGGATTATGCTTCCTCTTCATCCATCTTTCCCGTGTTTCCTTTGATGGTTGATCCGAGCGTAATCGATAATGGACTACCCAGTTCGATGGTTGGAGGTCTCCTTGATGGGTACTATCCAACCGAAAAGTTCATCGACAAAGTTGGGTTGGAGAATTCTTGTTTCCTGGAATCGATGGCTCAATCCCAGGTGCAACAGAAGAGGTTATGGGGGTCGATAACAAAGGCTGCCAGAAGCAAGAGAAGGATAGCAAGGCGAATGAACTCCATCTCCTCCCCCCGAGTTGGTCCTCCGAACCAGAACTCTTCTTCCTCCTCTTCTCCCGGCTCTCCATCTTCCAACAAGAATCTTTCTTTCTCTGCCGACGCTGCTCAGAGCAACAGCAACTGCGACACCGACAGGAAGAAGAGAGAGCTTTTCACATTCACCAAACCACATAACAGAGTGGGTTGTTTCAAATTGAGTTTCCCTAGATTTTTTTTCCCTTTTTATCTTCTGTTGGTTTTTCTGATTTGCTTTCAGATTTTCCTTTTTGGTAATTGTGTTGCGTCTCCTCCATTACTGATTCTCCTTGGGTTTTGAACAGAAACTCCGACTCTTATTGCAGAAGGAACTGAAAAACAGTGATGTGAACTCCCTTGGAAGGATTATACTCCCAAAGGTGAGGTGTTCATAATCCCGTAGCTAGCTCCAAGTATATTTTATATTTTATGATTTTGGTTCATTCCATTTTCCTTTTCAAGAAAGGAAGCTGTGAAAAAGTGAATGAGCCTCCATTCTCTTTTACCTGATTTGCTCTTGGGACCACTGTGACCCTATTTTTTTTTCAGACTGGCCAATAACGAACCTCCTTCCCTGACTTTTTCGATCCCCGTGACAGAAAATAAACCAAAAAAATTAATTAATTCTAATAATATAAGTTGCAATTATTACTAATTAATGACAAGAATACCCCTATTAAAAGTTATTACTTGCGCTACTTAATCAGGGGTGCTACTGTATTTTCATGGGGTAGCCTCTTTATCAAGTTTTAGCGTCTTATTCTCATCTGTTCTTAGTTCTTACCAATTTATGTGTTGAGTTTGGATGAGTTTTTTTAGATACCTCTTCTGATTCATAAACCTGACGAGTGTTTTTTGTTTGTTGAGTTATTTTTACTATTTTCATAATAAACAGAAAGACTCAGAGGCAAACCTGCCAACCCTCACAGTGAAAGAAGGATTCCAAATCACAGTAAGAGATTTGGCTTCTAGCAAGGTCTGGCACATGAGATACAGGTGGGTAAGTTGGTGTTATTTGGATTTTTCTGTTCCTTAGTTCAATAATTCAAACTGTTAGTCTGTTAGTCATATGTAGGAAAATGGAGTTCTGATTATATTCTGTTTCTGTAAAAGTTTAGGTTTTGGCCAAACAATAAGAGCAGGATGTATGTTTTGGAGAATACAGGTAAAACCCATTTGTTGAATTTCAGGTTCAAAGCTTTTAATTAAAATCTCTAATTTTGGGTCTTTTCAGCTTCTGAAATATAACACTGAAATCTCTGTGTACAGGAGATTTTGTGAAGCAAAAGAGTCTCAAGACCGGAGACTCCATCATGCTATATCAAGACGAAAGCAACCAATTTGTGAGTAATCTAATCTTGCTTACTACAGTCTTCTTTCGATTAGCAGAGCTTCTTTGATTTCAGTAATGTAATGGCTGAGAAAATGGGAGTAGTTTTATTTTGGCTGAACGAGTCCAATTGTATCCCTAAAATCTTTTCTTTTCTGGTGGGGGTGAGATTTGAGAAGCAACAGCCAACAAGATAAAAAGAAGCAATGGGAAACAGACAAAATAACAGAACTTTACATACACGTGTGGGATGATATCGTGGTACATAGTACGTGAGGCCACGTGTAGGGAAGTTCGTGAGAGCGTGACGTTCACCATGCATCACATTCATATTGTATCAGATTTTTTTAAGGTGGATGCTAGTGTCACGGCCTTCTTTAAATCACAAAAAGACCCAATAACCTCAGTCGTGTATTTTAGATCTTCGTGTCCGTGACGAGCAAGGCAGTTCGTTTTGGGCTATTTTTATATTTTAAACACAACTCCTTAACAGAGGGGCCGTTTGGTAACGGCTGAACTTGCTGAACCGAAAGAGTTATTGCTTTGTATTTTAGTTGTTAAAACAATTAAATGATAACAAATTTCAATATAGTGATCTATCTATCCAACTTCAGACTTTCAGCCATTAAGGAGCCCAAAACCTCCTTAAAATTAAAACCTATTCACTAAAAGGCAAAGCAATAAGCTTTTTTTAGTTCAGCATCTTTAATTGTTATCAAGCGGCCCCAAAATATAAGTCTTTATGTCCAGCCGCTTCAGCTATTATTATTATTAAGGAAAATTTTCAATTAGTATCCTGTACTTTGGGCCTAGTGCCACTTTGGTCTCCAAACTTTACAATGCAATAATTTAATACCCAAACTTTCAAAATGTGTCAATCCAGTACATGTCATTAACCAATCCGTTAATCAGCCATTAAGTGACATTTCAAAAGACACAAATGCCCTTTGAGTGTCATCTAATTTTCTTTATCAACCATCCACATGTTGATAAAAAATGAATAGTTTCAAATCCTTGCATCTTCTATTCAAAAAAGTTGGGGTTACGTTTCATTGGGCATTCTGGTGACCTCAACTTTCTTGAATAGAAGAGGCGAGGGTTTGCGATTGTTCAATTTTTGTCAACATTTGAATGGTTGATAAAGAGAATAGATGACACTTGAAGGGTATTTGTGTCTTTTCAAATGGCACTTAATGGTTGGTTAACAGGCAAGTTAATGGTAGGTACTAGATTGGCACATTTTGAAAGTTCAAATACTAAATTATCGCATTTTAAAGTTCAGGGACCAAAGTGGCACTAGACCCAAAGTACAGGTACTAATCTGATTGGATTTCATAACCCATATTACTCATCTTGTTTGTAGCATTTCTAGAACATTTAGAGGGCATTTGGCATTTGCATTTTTGCACAAACAAGTAAAAGTGATGTTTGAAATGTTTCAATCACTCGTAATTTAGCACTGCTTATGACTTTTAACAGAGAAAAATGGTAAAACAAGATTCATGTAGTTGGCTTTAGGCTTAGATTATGAAGATGAAGCAAAAGTGATTATGCCGATATAAATGAACATCTGAGTAGGGGAGCAAGTCAGGTTGCCCAAGTTGAAGAACTTCAACTCATGGTTTTTAAAAACGAACTGGTGACTAAACCGGTCAGGGGTCCGGTTACTGGTTTGAATGGTCTGATCGTTTGAGCCAAACAATCGGCCCGTTCTGATAAAAAAAATAAAAAAATAAAAAAATTGAAAAACGGTCAAAACTGTTTGAACGATTAACCAGCTGGTTCAGCGGTTTGCTGACCAAAATTAATGGTTTTGGGGAAAAAGCGGTTTTGGAGGAAAATGGAACTGGTCAGGTGACCAGTTCTCGGTTTTTCCGGTCCGACCGTTTGGTCTGGTCCGGTTTTGAAAACAGCACTTCAACTACATCCGGCTCAAGTTAGGGTTTGGGCCCATTAAAAATTTAACAAATGCTTAATGCCTTAACCCAATCCAATCAAGTTGCACCCTTGCATCCAAGGGAGTGCATGCAGAAAATTTACAGACTATGGACAGAATTTAATAACCTAAGAACTAGTTTCTTGTAGTTCATATTCTACAGGCTGGATCATTATTTGTCTGACTGATCTCTGTGTATGCTATGCTATCAACTATAATGCATCTACCATCTGGTATGCAAATGCTTGAACTCCTTACTTTGGATTCTCTGGTTTTGTTTTGACAAGAGCAGTTCATATGTGCTAAGAGGGCAGAAGACCCACCTTTTAAATTTGTAAAAGACCAAATGGAAGACAGCAAGGAAAAATTTTGTAACTCCTTCAAGGGAAAGATTGAAGAGGATGGACATGAACCATCTACAACTGTTGAGGAAAGAATTGATGAAGATGAAGAAGAGACTACTCTGGGCAAAGACAAAGTGTTCATTTTGGAGGATGGTGTCTCTTCAAGCAAGATTAGTTGCTTCAGCAATGATACTCTTTGTGGTACTTCTACCCAACTGGCTAAGGAAGCAGTGAAGCCCCAATCACTGAAGGAAGCAAGTGACCTTGACTGTTTCTTTAGTGAGCTAGAGATGCTTCCCAATTTTGGAGCTTGTGACCTTTCTCTATACAATGACTTCATAAATGATTTTGCTTATCCGGGTGGGGAGAATGGAGTGGTTGCAAAGTGATTTATATCACGAATTACCTTTTTTTGTTTTGTTTTGTTTTGATTTATTGTGTATAACTATTTTAAAAATTAATTTTGTTTTGGGCTTGGACTGGGATTTTGATTTTGTGGGCAAAAGATCGAGCAAAAGTTATTGGGCTTGGGTGACATGGATGTGTCTCGATTAAAACTCGTAAGTTTGTCTTATGGGTACAATGAAAATTGTGATAAAGATAACATGTATTGTTTCTCATCGTTATGAAATAAATTGACTGATCCATTTTCTCCTCTTATTCTTATTCTTCAATCTTTTTCCTCTCAATCTAGTAGAGGACTAGAGGGAATTGTAGTGGATTTGATCACTCTATCACGACCAATGTATCGGTGTTGTAAGACTTGATTGGACTGGAAGGTTGGACCGTGAAAACTAGGAACTGATGACCTTTCAAGGTCCAGATTAAATGATGGTTTTTATGAGTTGAATTAGCTTTGGATTCAACAAACTCCAATGTTAATAAGAAGTCACGAGGCCTTGTGAACCAGGCCCTCAGAGCCTGCTTAAGCCCATATAAACTCCTATTGAGGCGACAAACAAAACTGGGACGATTGGGATCTACAAAGCCCATAGGTAGAAAGGTGTTACGAACATCAAGAAGAGAAAGTATTATGCGAATTGTAGTGGGCTTAATGACCGGATTGAAGGTCTCGTTAAAGTCCAAACCAACTGCTTGAGTGTAGACTTTGGCCACTAAACGGGCCTTGAAACGCTGTAGACCCACCGGGTCCCCACAACATTCTTACCCAAAGGAGGAGGGACCAAACTACCAAAGTCCAAGTGTGGTTAGCCATCAAGGCCTTATATACATCGGGCATAGCTGAAACCCAACGAGGGTCCTTTTGGACTTGGGCGTAACAACTAGGCTCAGTTTCTGTCATGTCGGTACTTCCTCTTTCCCCACCAACACTCATGGCATATGTTTACACGTTCTCAACGTGGAAGTTTTAAGCCTAATCCTTGGGTGTTGGTGGACGGTGGGGAAATAGCAGGCCCAACAGTAGATGACATCATAGGAGATGCATTGTTGGGCTGAGGAACAAGAGGTGGGCCAGGAGAGTTAATAGTGTAGAGTTGTAGAACTTGGTGTGGGCCCATTATGCCAAATAGATGGAAGGGTGGGCTGAATTACTGGTTAATGAAAGAGCTCGAATAGGAGGAGCTCCAACATTGATATTAGGCTTAAAGGGCCCAAAGGGTGATAGTTGCTATAGTTAGTTGTGCGAATGGAAAACGAGATTCATCAAATAAGACATTACGTGAAAAATAGATGGAGGCACTTATTTAACCCTTATGCCGCAAAGCTATAGCCCAAACACATACATTCATCTGAACAAAAGTCAAGTTTGGAAGTATTTTACGGTCTTAGATACGAGTAGCAGGCACAACCTAGAACTTGCAATATAGAATAAAAAAATATATATATAACTGCTTCGAAAGCCATCATTGTTAATCCAGTTTCAATAATATTCTTGGGAACTCCAAGAATATTCTTCCAAGTAAAAGAACTAGTGGAAGTATGGAATGAAGAAGACGCAATATGTGAAATCCCTAAACCTGCTCTTTTACCGATGGTAATTTCATCATGGATCATGAACAGAGAGATTCTTGAGGTAAGTAGTCAGGTGATTGGTGCCTCCTTAGTTTGGGTCCAACCACTGTAATAGATGAAGAACCCATTGTGGGAATAGTTGGATTGGATTGTGTTGCAAGGGTTGAACTATTGGAGACCTGAGAAGCCATGGAGAAGGGAATGAACAACAGTCGAATCCCACTATGATACCAAATTAGGAATAATGAATTGAGTGAAAACTTTACCGATGATGTCGTTCTTTCTATTAGCTTAAATAGTGAAGGAATTAATTACAATGCTAAAAGAATTCTAGATATACACAAAATCTTGGAATACAACAGTTGTGATAATTAGGATAACCCTTGGTAGAGTTATATCTTTGCACGTTGGGTTGCTTCTTATCCTTGACAAGTTGAATGAACCAATCTCCCAATTAACTCGTAAAACCATGCATGACCTGTAAACCATGGCCTTCAAATAATTTTCTCCTTGACACACCAAAATTTTCTCTTACGCTCTGTTTGTTTGCACTCTAAATTTGAATCAATACAAATTTTGCATTTATTAGCATTGCAAATTTTGCATCTCAAAAGTTGATACAAAATTTTACTACCTCCCTCCTAGATCAATTTTCTTTCATATAAGGTGGGGACTGCATCATCTAATTATCCCACATGCACCCAAACAAATATAACTCCTACCTCCATTCTCTTTCATATGATTAAAATGGAGAAATTCATCATTTTACGTTTTATTTTATTTATCATAAATAAATGATACGAAGTCAAATCTAAATAAAAAATAAACCAAAAATTCCACAACCAATTTGCACTCTCTCGCATTTACACTGGTGCAAATATAAATTTGCACTGCAAACTCATTGAAATTGAATTGGTTCCGATATATTTCCGTTCACAGTCCCATCAAATCTGTATTGACGTTAACTGGATGGTGCAAGAAAAATATAAACAATTGTAGGAAATCCAACCACGGGTTGGGCCAATTGGATTTCTTATCCAACTTAGGATATATATAAAACTTGGATTTCTTATCCAAATTGGCACCTTGCTATCCAACTTGGACTTAGAAACTGCTTATCGAAAAAAAACAAAACAAAAAAAAAAAACTTGGACTTAAAAGTTAGAAGTGTAAGTATAAAAGCCTTTTAATTTTCTTTCCTATTTCTCCCTACGGGGCCCTATCCGTCCTTTTTTTTATGCAATGTTTTCGAACCATCATTGACCTGGATGTGCGGTCAAACTGTTCGGACCAGAAACTGTTCAGGCGATCGGTTCCGTTTTACCTCAAACCCGGTATTTGGTAAAAAACCGTTGAATTAGTCAACGAACCGTTGACCCGGATGGTTTGACCGTTGAACCGTTCGACTCAAAGAATAGTTTGTGGCAAGGTTTCTCAAATCTGAGATTGAGAAATCTCAAATTTGTACAGATATATCTCTCTTGCGCAAAACGGTGAGAGAGATTTGAGATGTGTGAGACAAGTCTATGCGAGACGGTGAGAGGGATTTGAGATGTGTGAGATAGTGAGATCTGAGACTAAGAAATTTCAAATCTACTTTCATTGCCAGTTTGCCACCATTGCTGCTGTAGTTCGCCATCGTCGTTGTTGTCATTGTTGCCGCTATAAGTCGCTGTCGTTGCCGCCGCTGCAACCTACAAGTCCTCCTCCACTTTTGAACTCTTCCCCTTCTTCTTCTAACTCTTTCAGCTGAAAGTTTTATCAAATCTCTCTCATTCAAATCTTATTTTCTCTTATATAGTATGCATCTTACCCTAATATTCCAATCTAATGAGTAAGATGTTCAAACCGTTCAAACCATTTGACCTGGACGGTCGAACCGCTGACTCGGAAACCGGTGGCCAGAACAGTTCCATTTCCGGGTCAGTTTTTAAAACCTTATTTTTATGTTCTTCTTCCCTTTTCTCTCCCGCTCCCTTTTCCTTTCCTTCCTGACTGGACAAGGACCATTCTAGGAACGATTCTGAGGTTTAATAGTCTGACCGTCTGGTTTGGACAGATGGCCCGTTTTAAAAAAATTAGAAAAACAAAAAATGGCTAAAAACTATTGTCCAGGTCAACGGTTTAGTGGTTCAACCACTTGAGTCAGCGATTTGCTGACAAAATTAACAGTTTTTGGCCAAAAAATGGTTTTGAGGTGAAATGGAACTGATCAAGTGACTGATTCCCTATTTTTCCGATCCAATCATCTGATACAATCTAGTTTTCCTCTTCTCTGCTCCCTCCTCTATTCTCCCCTTTTAGAGTCCAGATCTCCTGCCCACACAAACTCTGCCTACGTCTACCCACATAACATCGCAGCCACCCATGGAGAACATCTCATCCTCCTGCATGGTATTATGCAGGGGGATATGTTTCCAATTCACAGGGGGGTAGTATGTTGTGGGTAGACATGGGCAAAATTCTTGCGGGCAGGAGATCCGAAGTCCCTCTTTTATTCTTTCTCTCTCATTTTTTTTCTTTCTTATTTTAATTTCTCTCACGCTCACCATTCTTCCTCCTAAAATCTCTCTCACCATTCTCCCATTCAACAGACCAACACAGATTTCTCTATTCCACACCCATGCCAAGAGATTAACATCCTCATAGGGGTATGATAGGTCCCAGTCAAAGCTATTTGAGAGAATCGTAAAATGCTATTCTACTTGAGGTGAGAATGAACATTGTAATTTTATTGAATTTCGAACTTGTCTAACTTGCTAAATGATAGAGTTTAAATACAGAAAGGACTCAACTACTTGACAATAAAATAGCCACTAATAATGAGATTATCCTCTCTAACTGATTGATCGATTCCTATGCAACAAACTAACAAAAATAACAACTAATGTAAATCTTTAAGTCGCAATCAGTAAGCCCATGGGCCAGGTCACTCGTTGCTTTGCATGTCTCATGCAAGGTGACGCATACTCAATCCCCGTACCTTGGATTCCTGATAGGCACTCGAGTTGATCTTCTTGGCTTATCATTGCTCCCCTCTTTCAGTGGAACCTTGTCTTCAAGGTTCAAGTTGATATACTTGTTTCATAGCTCCTGTGTATTTTCCCACGTAACATCTTCTTTTGGAAATTTTTTCCACTAGACAAGGCTTTCCTCAACAAAACTTGACCCTTTCTTAATCCATCGAGTATCCAAAATGGCGTCAGGTTCCATAATAAGTTCACCATCATCAGTTATGGGTGGCAACTCAATGCTAGTGGCAGTAGTCTCCCCTACTTGCTTTTTAAGCAGTGAAACATGAAAAACAGGGTGAATTCGCCTTCGGGTAATTTAAGTTTGTAAGCTACCTTTCCAACCTGGTCTTCAATTTGGTACGGACCATAAAAGCGACTAGCCAGCTTTTGATATGCTCTCCTGTAGACAGTTTGCTATCGATAAGGGTGGAGTTTAAGGAAGACCTAATCCCCCACTTGGAATTCCACGCCCCTTCTTTTGGAATTGGCCAATTGTTTCATTCGATTAACTGTTGCATGTAAATTGATTTTGATCTACTGTAGAATGGCATTTCAAGATACCATGGTCTGGTCCACCTTCTCCACAAATGATGCCCCCACTTGATAATTTGGAATACTTGGTGGGGGTCTCCCATAGAGAGCTTGAAAGGGTGTCATCCCAATAGAGGAGTGGTATGTAGTGTTGTACCAAAATTCAGCCCCTGGAAGAAAATAATTCCATTTTCGAGGTTGTTGAGAAACAAAACATCAAAGATATTGCTCAACACACCAGTTAACTACTTCGGATTGGTCATCGGTTTGGGGATGATAGGCAGAGCTCATGTGCAGCTTAGTACCTGACATTTTGAAGAATTCCCGCCAAAATTGACTTATGAAAATGGGATCTCTATCACTAATAATTGATTTTGGCATGCCATGAAGCTTGACAATCCCTTTCACAAATTTTTCGGCTACCATTTTTGCCGTGTAAGGATGTGACAAGGCAAAAAAATGGGTTGATTTACTTAGGCGGTCAACGACCACAAAAATAGTGCTTTTGCCATTAGAGGGTGGTAACCCATCTATAAAATCCATGGTAATGTTGTTCCATACATGGCAAGGGATGGATAATGGTTGAAGAAGACCCGCTAGAGATAAAGTTTCTGCTTTATTCTTTTGGCAAACACTGCAAGAGGCCACATATTGTTGAATCCTTTTATACATTGATGGCCAATAGAATTGTTGTGCCACTCGCTTGTATGTTCTCAATACCCCAGAATGTCCTCCATATGGTGAATCATGGAATTCCTGCAACAGCTGATTGACAAGTTGGGAATTAGGAGGAATCACTACACAGTTTTTGTAACATACCAACCCATTCCGTCATTTATAGGGTGCTCCAGGATTTTCAATTGCAATCTTGCCAATTCGGACCATATAGGGATGCTTGCTGGCTTCAGTCGTGAGTGCGTGCCACAAAGATGTTTGAGGGACAAAAAGAGTACTAAGGCTAGGACTGCCTATTACTCTTGACAAAGCATCAGCAACGGAATTCTCCCTTCCCAGTTTGTAAGTGATCTCATAGTCATACCCTAGCAATTTGGACACCCACTTCTATTGTTTCGGCATCACTATGTGCTGCTCCATTAGATACTTGAGGCTGCGTTGGTTAGTTTGGATGTAGAACTTTCAGCCCAAAAAGTAAGGGCGCCAAGTCCGAATAGATTGAACAATGGCAAGCATTTCTTTGGCATAGGTAGACCATGATTGCTTAGTGACTCCCAAGGCTCAGCTCATGAATGCTATGGGTTTCCCTTGTTGAGTTAACATTGTTCCAATGCCAGCACCAGAAGCATCCGATTCAATGACAAAGGGTTGATGAAAATTTGGCATAGCAAGTGTGGGAGTAGAAGTCATTGCTTGCTTCAAAGTTGTAAATGCATTCTCTGCTTCTTCTGTCCATTTAAATTGTCCCTTTTTTAAGAGGTTGGTGAATGGCCGAGCTATAACTCCATAGTTGTGGATGAACTTTCTGTAATAACTTGTAAGGCCTAAGAATCCTTGCAAGTTAGAAACATTAGTGGTCTAGGCCAATTAAGCATAGCCTTAATTTTCCCTTAGTCCACCTTGACACCTTGTGGAGTTACAATGTGTCCCAAATATTCAACTTCTTGCTAGCAAATGCACACTTGCTAAGCTTAATGAAAAACTTGTGATGCCTTAATATTTCAAAAGCTTTTTTAACATGTTCAAGATGCATGATCCAATTGGGGCTATAAATGAGAATTTCATAAAAAAAGACTAACACAAATTTTCGAAGATATGGGCGAAATATGAAATTCATGATGGCCTGAAAAGTGGAAGGATCATTACACAAGCCGAAGGGCATAACCAAATATTCATAATGACCATTGTGTGTATGAAAGGCAGTTTTGTGAATGTATGATGGGTGTATCCGTACCTGATGGTAACCTGATCGTAAATCAAGTTTAGCAAAGAAGGCTGCCACATATAGTTCATCAAGCATATCATCAACAATTGGAATAGGAAACCTATCCTTGATGGTTATAGCATTAAGAGCCCTATAGTCGGTACAGAAATGCCAAGTTCCATCTTTCTTTTTGACTAACAAAATAGGAGAAGAGAAGGGACTTGTGCTAGACCTTATTAGCCCCAATTTTAACATGTCATGAACTCGTTTTTCTATTTCAACTTTTTGAAAGTAGGCGTACCTGTATGGTCGGACATTAATTGGCTCAGTCCCCTCTTTGAGATTGATGCAGTGATCTATCTCCCTTTTTGGTGGAAGCTGCTTTGGTTCCTGGTAGATGTCCCTGAATTAATGTAACAATTGCTGCATTTCCGACGGAGTTCTTTGAGGCACTTCCTCCATGGCTACTTGTAGACATACGGAAAATATGGAATTTCCCTGCTTCATCTCTTTTGAAATCGTTTTGAATTTCGTAGGCTGAACAGGATGGTTGTCCATTCCTTCCAATTGATGACACTGGTTCTTCCACGAAAACTCCATTATCGTTCTTTTTCAATCACAAACCACCGTGCCCAACTGTGCAAGCCAATGAACTCCTAACACCATGTCCAACCCAATCAACGGTAAGGAATAGAGAGTTAAGGTAAACGGAATACCTTGCAATAGGACTTGAACATTTTTAAACCTCCCTTGGCACTTGAGAGGATCACCATTGGCGACTTTCACATTAAAGGGTTCAGTTGGCACCACCGGTAAATGCAATAATTCAGCTATCCTGTCATTGATGAAATTATGGGTTGACCCACTATCAATAAGAACAATCAATTCATGAGATCCCACCTTAGCCGAGACTCGCATGGTTTTGGCTATTGACCACCCCGTGAGAGCGTGGAGTGAAATTTCAGGTTCTCCTCGCAGGTTGGTGTGGGCTCCCTCTTCGTCATCTGTTTCGCTTTCGTCAAAACCTCCTTCAAGCAACAGCAACTGTGGTCCTTTGCATTTGTGCCCCGGTACAAATTTCTCATCGCAATTAAAACAAAGGCCTTGAACACGCCTTCTCTGCATCTCTATCCAAGTGAGTCGTTTCAGTGGCGGAGCAGACTTCAGTTTCGTTGGGGAAGAGCCGATAGTGGGCCTATTGACTGGACGTGTATCCTTCTCTTCCTGGTGCAGCTGCTCATCTCGCATCCTAGCCAAACTAATGGCTTCCTTCAAGGATTTTGGCTTAAACATCCGAATCCCATCTGCTATTTCAGTTTTAAGGCCTCCCATAAAGGTGCCCACCAATGCCTTTTGAGTCCACCCCTGCACTCTATTTCCCAATCTCTCGAACTCCTTTTGGTACTCATGTAAGGACCCTGTCTGTCTTATTTTTGATAAAGACTCGTCAAAATCTTCTCAATTTGTTGGGCCAAAGCGAGACTATAACTCCTCTACAAAAATGGTCCATGACACTTCTTTCCCTTCCTCATGATAAGCCCTGCATAACCATTGCCACCATTGATTTGCTTCTCCTTCCAAATGAAAGGAAGCCAAAGACACCTTTCGTGTTTCCAAAGTGCCCTGGTATTCAAAGAATTGGTCGACATGCGTGAACCATTCATTTGGGTCATCACCAGAATACTTAGGAAATTCGAGCTTAGCCAACTTAGAGGAGAATAGTAGTCGTCCCCCTTCTGTGTTTTCACGAGAGCGTCCGTTGGAGGATTGTCTGCTACGTTCGTTGACATTGCTAGAAGTTGGTTCTTGTCTTGTAAGCAAAACTTCGGAGATCTTGCTAATAGCAGTCTCTAGCTGATGTAGTTTGTCATTAACACCCAGCTCCATTCTACTCAGATTAGCTTGAAGTCCCCCGAGACCCGCTTCTAAATTCTCGATTCTTTCTTTGTTGGTAGCCATAATGTCTAGCTCTAATACCACTGATAGGTCCCAGTCAAAGCTATTTGAGAGAATCATAAAATGCTATTCTACTTGAGGTGAGAATGAACCTTGTAATTTTATTGAATTTTGAACTTGTCTAACTTGCTAAATGATAGAGTTTAAATACAAAAAGGACTCGACTACTTGACAATAAAATAACCAATAATAATGAGATTATCCTCTTTAACTGATTGACCGATTCCTATGCAACAAACTAACAGAAATAACAACTAATGTAAATCTTTAAGTCACAATTAGTAAGCGCATGGTCCAAGTCACTCGTTGCTTTGCATGTCCCATGCAAGGTGATGCATACTCAATCCCCGTACCTTGGATTCCTGATAGGCACCCAAGTTGATCTTCTTGGCTTATGAGGGTAATCTCTTTTCATGTTTCACCGGGGCAAGCAACTGCTGCAACTACCATAACAGCTTTACAACAGGGCTCTTGTAGCCCACAGTCAACCATTTACATTCACTATCGACACATGCTAGAGGAGAAGCTTGTCATTTGGCGTGAACAACAGCCCGTCACTGATTAATAAAATATATCTAAATTATTTTATTAATTAATATTTCTTTGTTTCGTGTTACTGTTAATATCATTTTGACGTGGATAGTTAGAAGTCTTGGAAGTATTGTTTTCTTATTTTGTTATTGATTTGGACATACCTATAGCTTCAAGAAAACAATTCTTGACTTAGTCACGCTACTCCAATTCTAACTGTTTGGTTAGGTGGAATATAATCGGAATCCTATTCTTATTTCTACTGGAATGGCATTCTCCTATTTGAGAGAATGATCATTCTCTGCCCTTTCTTTGGGAATGAAATCTCATTCTCACTGATTCCAATTCCCATTCCTTTTTCTTGTCTAAATCAAATGAAAATAAACAGTTCTGATTCCAATTCCAAAGGATTTTGATTCTGACTCCAACTGTAAATCAAATGAACCCTAAAATCTCTATATTATTACATTTTTTCGAGTATTACTGATATTCAAGTTTATGCCTTGACTGAACTCTAAATTTAATGTGTTTTCACTTTTTGCTACCAAGCTTTGTCTTTTTTTTCACTTCCTATCTTTCTCTCTTTTGACTTTCCCTTAGCACACTGAATTTAACTTAACCACACTAGTTAATATAAAAACCAACCTGTTGTGTAGAGCCCATGAAGCGAAAAAAAATAAAATCAACCAGTCAGCTTTCCGTCGAATTGTTCACCTACCCGTCAACACCGGCACATTCCATGAACATCTCACAAAGCCAATTTATTGTTGATTTCCTGTCCATGCCATCGCCCATATTACTATTAGTCTCCACTGAATTTTCTGGTTTAACTTGTTACTTTTCATGGTTGATGGTCTCTGCCTCTCTGTTTTAATTTGCAAGTTTCAATTACATTTTTTATTTTCCTGCCTCCATACTCTCTCTGTTTTTCAGAATACAGAGGCGGATCCCAGGATTAGGAAATTCAAATTTAGAATGGGAAGCGGTGGTTGTATAGTTCTCTACCCTTTTCCACTCAGAGGCCATGTCGGCCCGATGCTGGAGTTGGCCAAGCAGTTCGTCCTCCGCCACCACTTCTCCGTCACCGTCCTCATCACAACCGGACCTTTTGACACACCTGCCACCACCTCTTACATCCACCATATCTCCCAAGCCAATCCCTCCATCACCTTCCTCCGATTACCCCCACTCTCCGACCCTTTCTCCCTTGTTGAGCCTTCTCCCAACCGCAGCAGTCTGGTAGTCTTATTGGAATTCATCCGCCTCAACAACCCCAACGTCCTTCACGCACTAAAGACCATCTCACAGATCACACCTGTCCAAGCCTTCGTCGTCGACATGTTCACTACTTCTGCCGTCGACGTCTTCTCCGACCTCAGTATTCCCACTTATATATATTTCACATGTGGTGCTGCCGCTCTGTCTGCCTTTCTCCACTTACCCATCATCGATAAGCAGACCACCCAAAACTTGAAGGACCTCACCACCACCCATCTCCATATACCAGGCTTGCCACCCATCCGAGCATCACACATGCCTGAACCAATTCTCGATCGAGATGACCAAGCATACCATGAGTGCTTAAAAATATCTTCTCAGATGACTAAATCAAGAGCTATTATGGTTAACACATTTGAGTCCCTCGAGTCAGTATCGCTTAAAGCCATGGAAGATGGGCTCTGTGTACCAGATGGTCCAACACCACCTGTTTACAGTGTCGGGCCATTGATCTCAGAACCCCAAGACGGAACTGAGGAGGCCGGAAATGGTGGTGGTGGTGGTGTACCCAAGTGCTTGTTGTGGCTAGATGAACAACCACCACGAAGTGTCGTCTTCTTGTGTTTTGGTAGTATGGGTGCGTTCTCCGGAGAGCAGCTGAAGGAGATAGCTATCGGGTTAGAGAGGAGCAGGCAGAGGTTCTTGTGGGTGGTGCGGAGTCCGCCACCCAGTGAGAAGGACAAAGTAGTGTCGAAAGGATCAGCAGCAGTGGATCCAGATCTGGATGCTCTGTTGCCTGAAGGGTTCCTGGAGCGAACCAAGGAGAGAGGGTTGGTTGTGAAGTCATGGGCACCACAAGTGGCCGTGTTGAATCGGGAATCAGTGGGTGGGTTCGTGAGCCACTGCGGATGGAACTCGGTGCTGGAAGCGGTTGTTGCCGGGGTGCCCATATTGGCGTGGCCTCTGTATGCGGAGCAGCATATGAACAGAACAGTATTGGTGGATGCTTACAAGTTGGCTATGCCCATCGATCAATCTGACGATGGGTTCGTGAGTGCCGATGAAGTTGAGAAACGTGTTAAATCGTTGATGGATTCAGAAGATGGAAGAGCTCTGAGAGAACGAAGTCAGGAGATGAGACAGCAGGCCCTGACCGCGTTAGCCGAAGGTGGCTCGTCCTCCATTGCCTTCACCAAGATAGCTGATGAGCTGTGTGGAAACAACATTTGACAACAAATTAACTCCAAGGCGTCAGATCTTTGCTGCCTCGGTCGTTCACTCACTAGTCACTCCCGTCCAGTCCGTATCTGCTCCAAAGCCCTCCTTTCCTCCTCTCCCATGGCGCACAGCCAACGACGAAAGCCAAACCCCTCCATGGAAGACCTCTTTGGACATCATTTATTAGAATTTATGTCCAAGATTTTCTGGTGATTAGCTTCTTCGTTTTCTTGATAAGGGATGCCTTGTATTTTGTTCGTTTTCTGGTTGAACCTTCCCCGCAGTTTATTTTAACAATTAAAGTTGGATTATTACCAAATTACAACTTAAAAGTGTAGTTGCCAATTCTTATTGACTGAGAATCGATAGTCCCGATTAGGGTCTGGTTTGAAACTGGTTTTGCTACTTTATCCGTCGAGATCTATCCATTGACCGTACCATATCTAGTGTTGGTGTTGCATTGTTCCTTCAATTTGACACAATCCATCTAATTTCCTCCTATTTCTCGATTCTCTTGCATTTCGAAACGATGAAAATAAGTATAAATTTAAATATGTTGAGTGTAAAACAGTCTATATAAATTGTAAAATTGGGTTGATTTTGCATCAATAAATTTATCTTTTTATCAAAAAATGTTTTTTTGACAGAAGTACAAATATAAATATATACAGTATAAATAAATACAAAATACAAAATTTTGCACTGTAGATATTTGCAAACACAAATTTCAATAAAGCATGACTTTTTTGTCAAAAACCCAATTGAATGCAAATTTATTTATTTTTATTGATATACTTTTACATCTTATTATTGATGTAAAAAATGCATTAGAAAATATATTTTCTTTCATTACAGAAGTGAATCAGAATACAAATTTACCCCTAACCAGAATTTACACTACATTTGCATCGTTTTCAAACGCAGCTTTAATGTCATAATATGTGAGAAGACCACTTCATCTTGCTTTTTACCTCCCTCCCAAACAAATGAATTAATTCACTTTTGTTAAGACACTCTTGTAGCGCAGGGCTAAAACAGAAAACACCAACAATAAATTTAAAGGCTTAGATTTTTTTGTTTCAGCCCATAATCCTTTTCCTACCTCCATTCTATTTCAAATAAGGGAGAGTGGATAGGCTGAGTTTGACGGTTATGGGCCAATCATTTTGTTCAATGCCAGCCATAAATGCATATGAGATACTGAGTTTGACGGTTACTTTTATAAGCAGTCCATTTTACAAGTGATGATTCACAATTGATTCGTTTCTATAATGACAATTTTGTGATATCTAGTCAATTTTTTCAAATTTCGAAGCACCATGTCATCAAGGCAATTTAGAATCGCCAAGGCAATTCAAAAAACATCAATTTGACATTTCAAGAAATCCCTACCATTTTGAATTTCAAAACTAATCATTACAAAAATGTTTTCCGAGAGAAAGGCTTGCTAAATGTGATTTTCTCGCCGATTCCATTTATTTATTGCAGTGAACAACAGAAACAGAATGCATGTGAAACACACCGTTTCGGGCTTTCACTTTGGATTAATAGAATTTTCTAAGGCCCGAGCCCGAGCCCGGCCCGATCATCGGGCCTACAACTTGGGCCCAAGCCCGACCCTCATAAAAAGCCCAAAGTCCGAGCCTGAAATTTAGCCCATACTATTAGCGGTTGAATAGAGAGAGAGAGATTATAAAGAAAAGAATAAAAAATGTATATATTAAATTATAAATATATATTTTAATAAATATTATATTATTTATATATTTTATATAATATATAAAATACATATTATATATTTTATAAAATATATAATGTTGAGTCGAGCCAGGCCGGGCTTTTTTGACAAATCCTGAGCCTGGCCCAAAACACAGTCGAGCTTACTGTGTTAGGCCCGAGGTTATGCCCACCGGCTTACTTACATGACCAAGCCCGACCGGGGTGCGGGCCGGGCCATCAGGCTACCTGGCCCATGAACAGGTCTACGTGCCATATACCCATTAAGTGGTGCGGCTTGTGCCCTCCTTAATCGTTGAAAATAAATTTAGGTACATGCACCTAATTCTTAAAAATTTTATTATTTAATTATTTTAACATAAAGGACAAATAAGAGACAATGAGACATCAATCATGGTTATCTTCTTGTACGTGTGATGATAGACTTGTTTTAGATAGAAAAGGGTCAAAACCATCATTTTTCAAGGCCGATTAAGTAAATCAATTGCAATTATAGGGGTGTTTTAATAAAATGTAAACTATAGAGTTGGGATCTGCTTGTAAGTTGTCCTAACACAGTTCCAACATGATCTGTATCCGCACTATTGGAGGTCTGTCAAGAAAACTTGACAGAAAGAGATGATGAAGGAGATATCCATGATTTCCCCTCAAGGATGTTGACCTTCTTTGCAGGCAACTGATACAGCAGCTCGAAGTCTTTTTTGGACTCCACCTGGCCAAGGCTATGTAAAGATCAACAATGATGGAAGTTTTTTGACCCTGGTGTTGCTGGTTTTGGTGTAGTGGCCCGAGACTCAAATGGGAAAGTGCTTGCTACTTCTTTTGGCTCATCCAAAGCCCATTCTCCCATTCAAGCTGAAGCATTAGCTATCTTAAAAAGGGCTGGATTTGGCAGGGGCTCTTAACTCCCAAAATCTACTCAAACGTGATCTCGGCTATCATCTCTGGAGATGCTAAAGGAGCTAGAGATGTTGTGTTTCTGTGTTAGGATATTTTACAGAAAATTTACTCTTCTCCAGTGACTTGTAAGTTTGTAAATAGGACTGCAAATAGGGTAGCTCATGAGTTGGCAAAAAAAGTGCTTGGAGGGTCGAGTTCTTTTATTTTTCAATGTCCCAGCTAATTGGATTCAAAACTTTGCTGATAAGGATCTATCTGATCCTTAACTGGTTGTTCGGTTTCTTTGCTTTTAGTTAATACATCACTCTTTTCTACCAAAAAAAAGAGTTAAGCTATTAGGTGAGGGATAGGTTTTTATTCTTTAACATACCCACTCTCGCAAAAGCCTGGCATACCTTTTGCTGAATTTTTAATTAGGCTCAGTTTAGAAGGAGTACAAAAGACAAATATGTAGAGTAGTGAGGATTGAACATATTTGTATTTGTACTCCTTCCAAGTTGAGCCATATAATGGGGGTAGTGAGGATTGAACACTAGGCCATATGGTCAAACAGACTCTAACACCATTTTCAAGGAACTGTTAAAACTTAAAAGCTTAAACCCTTAGGTAAGGGACCTAGATAAGTTTTTATTAGGGATGGAAATAAGGCAGGTTCAGGGAGGGTTTTATAAATTCTAGACCTTAGTCACCTCCCTAGACCTTCCAACCCTTTACCCTCCGAAATCCATAGTGGGTTGGATTTTGAAAATCCAAACCCCCCTTGCACATGAAAATGCAAAACCCTCCCCAACCCTACCCTCATTACATTTGAGGGTGGGACAGGTGTAAGTTGGGTCTAGAACCTGTATCTAATTTCCTACTATTTCATGTTATATATCTATATTACTATTAAAAGTGCAAATGGTGAACATTTTCTTCTTGACTAAAATGTCCATATCTTTAAATTTGGTCCTCTAATTCAAAGGACATTTGAACTACTGCTTTTCACCTTATAGAATTCCCTCTCATTAAATCTTATGTTTAAGGTGTTAACTCTCATTTTCTATCATTAAAATTTTCTTCTTAACAAAAATACCACTATCTTTAAATTTAGTTCCTTTCTATTTCAAGGGCATTTGAACTACTACTTTTCACCTTGTTGAATTCCCTCTTATTAAATCTTATGTTTAAGGTATTAACTCACATTCTTTCTCATTAAATCCTACATCTAAAGTATTATTTTCTCACCAATAAATTATACTAATTAGATCTAAATTCAAAATTTTAAAAATGATCATATTTTTTAATTGACCCAAGAATAGAACTATTCATTTGTCTAGGTAATTCATAAGAAATTCAAACATTTAGGTCAAATGGGTCAACCCATTATATCATAGTTAAATGTCAAAAAATTTAAATAAAAAATAAATACAAACATTACAAAATCAAAAAATCTATAAAAAAATTGAGCACATTTCTAATATTTTCTATTAATCATATTAAAAAAAAAATAATTGTTATGAATAAGACTTGTTTTATTGATGAAAGAAATGAAATGCAAAATTTAAAACCACCTTCATCCATAGGTTATTACAATTGGTAAGAATTTTCCACCCAAAACATAGCAAGGCAAGCCGGGTTGACCCAAATAAGGTTCTTGACTCCAAGACCTCATTATAAATTGAGGCATCGTATTTGCTATGGTGTTCGCTAATAAACATGCTTTTTGTATGTCCGGTAATTTTATTTGCAATGGGAGATACATATTTAATGTGGTGTTGAGATGGCATCCTGTGAAATATGTGTTGTATAACATATGCAGGAGATCTGGACTCAGAGGAAATCATAAAACCTTTTTCACTGTAAGCATGAAGTTCAACCCCACATCGGAAATTTCCCCACAAGTTTAAAGGCTTGTTCGTTGGCATTGAAGTCTAACATCTAAATGACTCAACCTATAATAATTACTTTTAGAAGTGTATTAGAGTTGGTGAACATTTCTTTGCTATTTAAGTCTAAATGTAGAGAATGTTGTTCTAAAATCTAAATGATGAGTTTTAGAAAATGAAAATTGACTATTTTAACCCTATATATGAGAAAGCTTGTTTGACTTTTGACAAACTAATTACCAATTAACTAAATGAATATAAAATAACTAAAATAATAATAATAATTGTTATTATTATTAATTACAAAATTATTTTTAAGAAATCAAATATTTACTAATTAGTTGTTAATTAATATATTTTAAGATACATAACTAAATAATTTTTAAATAATAATTAATAATTATGTATTTAATATTTAATTAATTAAAATAATGAAATTATAAATAATTGAACAAATAATAAAATAAGTAAATATGTAATTAAATAATACATAGATAATTAATAAAATAAAACAATAGCAATTTCTAATTATTATTATTATGATGATGATGATGATGTCATAATCATCAAGGTTTACAAATCATCAAACCATTCAGCCCAAAAACTGATGAGGGTATCGGTTCCATTTCACTCTGATTTTCCCCTAAAGTCAACAATCCATGGACCCAAGCGATCAAATTGTTGACCAGTTTGGGCCAATTTTTTATTTTGAAATATTTTAAAAGATTACCACGGGTGATTGGTCAAACCATTGACTCGAAAATTCTTTTAAAAATATGTAAATTTGTATAACTTTCCCTTTTCTGTTTGATTTCCTGCTTCATGAATCTAATTTTACCAAAGAAAAAGAAAGCATAGCCTGAGTGAGATTTTTTTTCTTTGGTTTCTATCTTAGATGAACCCTAGCAATCATGTATTACTCTGTTAATTATCCAAGGTTAATTTATTGTGTT